TCGAGCTCGGTACCCCCCTGTTGCAATCCCGTGCCCTCCATTATCATGATGCTGTCGAAGATCGCAAAATTTGCTGTGAGACGACTCAGTAATTCATTTTTCAGCATGCGCGTCGATATTCAGCGCGCTTAACTACAGTATTCGCGTTAGAGCGCATTTACTTTAGAAAATTCATCGTCCTAAAAGATTCACCGTGTCGAAGTATGTGGATGCCCTGCAGTAGCAAATTGACGTCATCTGGAGTGATGATGGTAGTCAAAAGAAGTTGGTTAGAGAGATTCGTAGATCGTATGGTGATAATTGGCAGTTTTGGATTTTCTGAACTTTTCTATCGGTAGAGCGCATTTTTTGGATTGTTCAGAATGGCTAAACATCAAAAAAAAAATCTAAAAATCAATACGACTAATCATTGGGAAGCTTTAGTTCATACTTTAAAAAATCACCCATAATTTCATCAGGTTCCCCCCACCCTCTTTATTTCAATTTGTGTCCCAATAGCTCTCCCGATTCTCCTCATTCCATTCATTTTGGTGTATTTTTCATTATTATATCATTATTTTTCTCTCTCTTTTTCATTATTATTATTACCATTATCCTTCTCGATCAACACATTTTCTATTTTATTTTTTGTCCGATTTCTTTCTTCTTCTTTTTCTATCAAATAAAATTAAATAATTTAGTTCAACCATTGTTTATTGTTTTAAGTTTAGGTATATACAATGAAAGTTAGACCCGTTTCTTCTGGATTCGGTTGTCAGTTTTAAAGAAGTTTGCAAATCTTCTTTGGCTTTGGCGCAGCCAGACGTTCTGGCCACTTGAACAAGAATCGAAATTACGGTTTTAATAATGCTAAACTGTGTTTCAGGCTCTTAAAGTCATGGAACACGTTGATATGCTTAAATCTTCCAAATAGTAAAAAAAACGGTTTCATTTTAAGTCTTTTTTTTTCAATTTCCAAATTCATTTTTCGGTGTTTTTTTCGGTTGCGAAAATACCGGTTTCGAAATGTCGCAGTTTCGAAGTGTCGCGGAGCCAAAAAATTGAAAAATAGCATACTTGCTAAATCTCGCCCGTGTCAGCCCTGGCCCAGCCCGCCGGCCCGGGTTCCAAAAATTCAAAAATTTTCAGATAATTTTTGATACATTTTTGTCAAAATAATCATTTTAAAGTACGAAATTTATCCCATGACCCTTCTTAAACCTGAAAACAAAGAACTTTTGATAAAATGTTCTCAAAAATCCAGTTTTCTCTCAAAAAATGGCTCTTCAAAATTTTTGCCTCGAAAACCCGGGCCAGCCGGGCCAGAAAAATAGCCATGTATGAAAAATAGCCATGATTATACTCATTTGAAAGCTTATAAGAAGACGAGAAAGACTCAAAATTGTCGACTTTTTAGATTTTCGTTTTCAAAGACAAAAACAAATTATTAAAATATTCAAATTCTTTGAATCAAAAATTAAAGAGTTTTAACAATTGATACTTCACTTTGCTTGGAAAATTTAGGAAACTTTGGAAAACTTTGGAAAATTTAGGGAGAACAGCAACATACCGTAAAACCTCTAATAGAACGACACCCGGATCGTCCACTTTGAGCCTATATATCTCATTTTCTGTGAAAGATATCAAAAAGTGGCTAACTAGTAAAATGTTGCTGATATCCTG